CTTATCATCTTATCTGTCTTAGGTTTCCCCACACCAACATCATAGCTATATTTTTGTGTAAATTATAAAATTTAAAAAATTTTCTTTTCACTTTTAGAAGTTGAATCTATTTGGAATTAATCTTTGTATATACTGTGAGGTAGATATCTAAATTTTTAATGAAAATAATAAATGTTTTCAACCTGTTTATTGAGAAGTCTGCTCTTTCCTCATTGATTTATATTACTCACCTCTGTCATGTATACATGGACTGGTTTCTGGGTTCTCTTTTAAAATTCATTGATCAATTTGTCTGTACTTATCTCATAGTCTTAATTACTAAATATCAAAGGAAAGTATTGATGCCAGATAAAACAAGTCTACCTATTAGTTCTTCGTCAAAATTAATTTGAATATTCTTGGTCTGTTGCTCTTTCATATGAATCTTGGTTTATTTATCTAGTTCTTGACATGCACAAAATATTTGTTAGAACTTTGGTTCAAATTTAACTGAGTATATGGATTAATTTGAGGGCAAATTGATATCTTTCTGACACAAAGTCATCCAACTAATGAATATAGCATAGCTGTTTATTTATTTGGATCTTCTTTTATGTGCTTTAATATTGTATTGTGTGGACCAAATACAATACTGTATTTTGAAGACCAAAATAGACTCTCCTTTAACAACTCAGATGGACCCCCAAGGTTAACAAAACAAAAGTTATCTACCAGTTGAAAGTTTAGGAGTTAGGTGACGTGACAACTTCCTAAATCCCTATAGCTACCAAGGAACAACCACATTCTTACTAAACTCTCTAACAATAGGAGTTCAGATCCCTCCTCACTCTAATTTACAACTGAGACCACTACCACTCTTTTTGGACAGAGGACCGGCCTTACAATACTCTTTCTTTATAGACAACTGCAATCCTTAAGCCAGTTTCAGCCAGATAGAGGCTGGGCACAAGCTGTCTTTGTGTTCCATAATTCATCTTTTGACATAAAGAACCAGATTCGATCTCAATTTAATGCTAAAACCCCACCCCAAAGTGAATGTGGGTTGTGTGTTACATTTATGCTTACCCATTGCACATGCACTTGACCTCCTTCAGGATTTTGTATAACTTTTCCCTCAAACCTGCTGAACATGTGTGACTCTACTGAGGGATATGGGCCTTGTGAAGCACAAAAGCCAATCTGCTTTTCCCTTCTCCAAAGAGAGAGCACTTTTAGTCCACACCAGAGACTGTCTCGTCCCCATTCGCAAGCTGATATTGCCAATAAAGGTCTTCTTTCTACTATTTAGCCATCCTGGTGATTTTTTGGGTGACAACTGTAATTTTCTTCATAAGGGTTTTTACATTTATTCCTTTTTGTTCTTGTTGTTCTTTTGTTGGGATAATTATTTTTACCAATATATATGATGGCTATTGATTTTGTATCCAAAATGCTTATAAAATAATTAATATTAATATGTTATTCATGTATTATCTATGAAGAAAATAATAGAAAACAAGAATGTCTTATTTTATAAGACAATAAGATGTTTTTGTTGTACAAGCAAAGTGAAAAAACTGATTTTAAATAGGACTTCATCAAAATTTAAAACTTTTTTACTTCAAAGAATACTGCCAAGAAAACAAAATGACAACCCAGCGACTGGGGGGAACTGTCTGACAATCATATATCAGATAAGGACATGTAGGTAGAATATATAAAGAACTATTCCAACTCAAAAGGAAAGATAGCCCAGCTGAAAAACAGAGCAAAGAATCTGAATAGCTATTTTCCCAAATAAAACACACAAATGTCCAATAAAGACATGAAAGGGCAATCAAGACATAGTAGCCTCCCCATTCCACCAATAAGGGGTTTACAGTACCATCTACCTCCCACCCCTGTAAGCCCTGCCTTAAACACAAAAGAGAAAAATAAGATTACTTTGTAGCATCTAGCATTCAGATCCACATAGGCAACTAAGTTTTGTGCCGTGTGTGTGCTGTCACTCCACAGATATTGCAGCATCTTGCACAACTCAGTGACTCCTGCTGATCTTTTTTTTTTTTTTCTGTTAAATCTCAAGGATGAGCGTCAGACAGAAAAAAATTTAAGAAGCATCACCTTTCCAGGGATGACAGCAAAACCCACCAAATAAATGATAGAATTAAGATAGTACTATAGAGGAAACGGTATAGTTGAAATGACAAAAAACTTGGGGATGACTGATTTTTAGGGGGAGGTAGGAGGATTATATCAAGATATCAAGGTATTTCCTATACTGGGAAACCAGTAAAGGAAACATAAGAAACCATCAGAGATATTTGAAAGTGAAAAACATTATATTGTACCTATCACGAGAATATTGCTTCAAGAGGAGGGTGATTGACAATTCCAACTCCTACTGAAGAAGAACAATTGAAAATGGCTGGTGCATTGGACAATTAGGAAGACAATAGTATAATTGGAGAGACTGTGTAATAACTTTGGATTCTGATTTATCTGGATTTGAATCCCAATGCCACTCTTATTAAGCTATATAAGTTTAAGTCCTCATCTAAGTCTATAAAGCCTGAATCGTGGGATTGTTGTATAATCTAAATGAGATAAATGTGTAATATCTCACACATAGTAAGCTATGACTGAAGAAAAGAGAAAGATAGGGTGGCAGATAAAAAGAACATTAGAATGGGTAGGGATTTTGTTGGGCCACCAAAGAGTTAAATCATGGGTAGAGAAGGGGCAGAAGTCTGGTATATAAGTGCATCCAGAAGATATTCAACAGAGACCTGATCAAATAGAAGCGGAGTGGGTAGCTCAAAAGCAGACAGTGGGGCAGAGCAGAAAATAGGATGGAAGGAGGAGACACTTGGATCAAATGGAAAAACATGATATTTTGGAGTCATTTATTATTACGCCTTACATTTGTCCATATACCATAAACATATATTTGAATTGGCTCATACTATGATATTTTGTTTTAAAATGATATAAAAAAGTTAAGATGTCTTTAACAATGAGGAAATCGTGTTATATATTATAGTGTACCAACGACTATTAAACTGAAAAGAAAATATTAGCATTTATGGTTAGATGAAAGATATCAGTAAATCAGAATCCCTTACTGCCTGGTGATGGTATACAGAGAAAGCTTCTTTACAACTTAATGGTATATTTATTAGGTCAGTCAGGCCCCTCCAAAGAAGAACTGGGACTGAGTAGATGACAAACTTGGAAAGATTATGAAGTTAAGAACAAGGGAAGGTAAAATGGAAGAAATAGATCCTAATCCTTTGTTCAGGAAATGTTTGTCTTATGGGTATCCAATAAATCAGGGACTCACAATCGAAATACCAAGGTTCAATAAGCATTATTCTCTCTGTAACTCGTTTTTATTTTCTTTTTCCCCAATATTCTTCTTAACAACAGTTCTCTGCATTTCTACTTTTAACCAGGCCAAGGCTTCTTTGCTGTTCTATGTATTTTAAGTCACCTTGACATGATGAGATGACTATAGGTTAAAGAAGAAGAGAAAGAATGAAGGTAGGAAGTAAGGATGGAGGAAAAAAAGATAGGAGAGAAACCAGGAAGAAAGGAAGGAGGGGTCAATTTAAAACAATAGCAGAAGGATGCAGCAGAAAAATAGACTCCACCACTTCCTAAAGTTTGAGATGCTCTTTTAAAACATTTTTTTCAATCAAATAAGAACACATTCCACTCTCTTATAGATACTCAATGCATGTAGCACATTACAGACTCTGAGAAGGAAGCAGTTTACCTTTGCTTAACTTGACATTTCCCAAATGTATGTACTTATGATTTCCTGTGTAACAACTTTTAATAGCCACAGTAATTTAATTCCCCTGGCACACACTTTAGGAAAAACTGGAGTTCAGAACTTCACTTGCACAGACTGTTGAATTGTATTTTCTTCTTCTTAAGCACAACTTTTTATTATCTTTAACTGGCTATTGTGAGGTACCAGTTGGATTGCATGTCATTATATAATGCTCAATATCTATTATTCCGGGAAATACTGTCCATTGGTTGTATATTTCACAGCTCTCTAAACCATAGTTTTTTAGTCTTTGAAGATATGATTTGAGCAACAGGAGAAATGAGATGAGCTGAGACACCAACAGACACCTATTTTAGAAAGATATATGTAGTAGGCAGATTAATGACCTCCAAAGATATTCATGCCCTGATTATTGGGGTTTGTGAATATGTTACCTTATATGGCAATAGGGACTTTGTAATGTGATAAAGTTATGAATCTTGAGATAGACAAATTACTTTGGATTATACAGGTGGGTTCAACTTAATCACTTGAGTCCTTAAAAGTAGAGAATATTTCCCTTGTGCAGACAACCAGAGAGATGGTAGCATGGGAAGGACTCAGTCCACCATTTAACTTAACTTTGAAGATGGGAGGAGACCAAGGACCATGGGCAGACTTTAGAAGCTGGAAAAGAATAGGGAAGAGATTATCCCCTAAAGCTTCAAAAAAGAACACAGCCCTGTTGACATCTTAATTTTATCCCAGTAACACTTGCATCAGACTTCTCATCTACAGAACTGTAAGAATATATTTGTAATGGTTAAACCACCAGTTTGGGGGAATTTATAACAGTAGCAATAGAAAAAATTATATGATCAGCAAGTATAAGAGGAGGCAGGATAGGAAATGTTTGTACTGAGCAAAATCCTCTAGAAGGAGACTATTATAAAAGCTGCATTCTGGCACTGTGTTCTATAATAACCTCCGAGATTCCTGGCCCCTGGTATATTCACATATTTCCTAGTTATTCCATCAATCACTAATATGGGTGCTGCTACTAAAGGATTTTGCAGGTGTAACTAAGTTCCCATGTCCACTGGCCTCAAAATAGAGATTATCCTCTATGGGCCTGACCTAATCAGGTGAGCCCTTAAAAGTGATGGGACGCTTTTTGGCAAAAAGAGATTGGATGAATGAGAGCATTTTACACCAGGGACATTCTCCACTGCTGGCTTTGCAGATGAAGGAGTTCACTGTTCCAAGATTGAGGGCAGGCTCTAAGAGCTGAGAGTTGCCCCCAGCTGATGGCCAGCAAGAAAATGGGAACCTCAGTCCTATAACCACAAGGAACTGAACTCTGCCAGCAAAGTGAATGAGCTTGAAGACAGCTCCAGATGAAATCAGAGCTCGCTGACTCCTTGATTTCAGCCTTGTAAAATCCTGTGCGGAAAATCGACCCTTGCTGTGTCTAGACTCCTGACCTTCAGAACTGTGAGTGAATAAAAGGGTCTGGTTTTAGGCAGCTAAATGTGAGGGAATCTGTTACATAGCAGTAGAAAACTAATACAGCTGGATTATGATATAATATTTAGTAGTTATATAAAATTCTGTTTTTGTCAATGATAACATTGACATAGGGCCTGAGGAAAGGCACTTTCCACAGGATTATATACCTTTGAGGGTAGTTAACTGTATGTGTGTCACAGAGCCTATGCACTGTAGATGCAAATGAATACTTTTTTTTTGTTTGTTTGAAGACAGGGTCTCATTTTGTTGCCCAGTCCAGAGTGCAGTGATGCAGTCACAGCTCACAGTAACTTTGAATGCTTGTACTCAAGAGATCCTCCCATCTCAGCTTCCCAACAAGCTGCGACCACAGGCATGTGCCACCACTTGGCTAATTTTTCTATTTTTCATAGAGTTGGAGTCTTGCTGTGTTGCCCAGGCTTGTCTTGAACTCTTGGGCTCAAGAAGTCCTCCTGCCTTGGCCTCCTGAAGTGCTGGGATTACAGGTATGAACCACTGAACCCAGCCTGAATACATTTTGATTTGAATTTAAAAGAGTCACAAATCCCATTTTATGTTGGGGACCTATTTAAGGGATGTTCAACTTTAAAGATCTCCACTCCTATGATGTTCATTTTCTCTTTCCATTTGATAAAACAAGGCTAGCCTGTTTATTAAAAAGATGAAATATATTCTCATCAAAAGACGAATACTGGTCATATCACTCACATATGAGAACAGATATCAGGGCACTGCATAGGGAGAAGTTGTGCAGAGGACACCAGCTGTCTCCAGTGCACAGTTACTGGGAATGCACCAGCTAGTTTGCTGATTTTTTTTTTTTTTCTTTTGAGATGGAGTTTCACTCTTCTTGCCCAGGCTGGAGTGCAATGGCGTGATCTCAGCTCACTGCAACCTCCGCCTCCCAGATTCAAGCGATTCTCCTGCCTCAGCCTCCTGAGTAGCTGGGATTACAGGCATGTGCCACCACGCCCGGCTAATTTTGTATTTTTAGTAGAGACGGGATTTTCCATGTTGGTCAGGCTGGTGTCAAGCTCCCGACCTCAGGTAATCGGCCCACCTCGGCCTCCCAAACAGGCGTGAGCCACTGTGTCTGGTCTGCTAATCTTACTAATACAAGTGACCAGGGTTTGATGGAGAAATGTCAGAGCTTTGTATCTTAGCAGGTTGTCCGCACGTCCTAAAAGCATACATGCCTACCTACTTTTGTGTGCTGATTGATTCTCTTGACCTATACACTGGAAGTCAAGATACTTCAGATAAAGGATTCAGAGGAGGGAATGAGCAGGTAATCCTCAAGACTAGAAGGACAGTGTTCATGCTGAATTCAGGACTCATGTCTAAGAAGGGTAAGACTGCTGTAGCGAACAGAAGATGAACATCAGTTTGCTTATTTGTAAAATCAGAGTCGGCAAAAGAAGCCGGTGGAATCCCATTGAACACAGTCAGCAAAGCTTTCCTTTGGTGGATTTCAACCAGAATTCCAGGTTGTAGACAAAGACCTGCAAAGGGATATTTATGGTGGATATTTGTAGTCTTAATTCTTATCAGAAGCAGAACACATGTAGAAGAATATAGGTTGTATTAATATTAAATTTAAACTGTAGTATTAACATGAAACTTAAGAATTTTTAGACAGATATATTAATTAAAAATAATTTTTATTTAACAAAAGGAAGAACTCTTACAATTAGCAGGCAAAAAATGTCTTGCTCATTTAAATGTGTTTGCTATGGAGACAGAAATTTTAAACCTGTGGGGAACTAATATTAAGAGACAGGTTGTCTAGATCAACTCTGTAAATGTAAGACATTATAAGATTTAGATATATTTTTAATCACTATTTATCATGCAATTCAGTGAGATGTCTTTATCCTAATCTGGACAAATTTTTAGAAAACTTGAATCACAAATAAGGATATTGGCATGAGATAATGATTTGCTAATCTCACAAGACTGTTGTTTTAGAGACTGATGTGTGTACAGAATCTATGGTTTGGAGATCTGATTTTATAGCAAATTTATTTTGAGTCAGAAAGCTGAGGAGAAATATTTTCTGTATGCTTTCTTATGGCGTGCACTGCTTAAATTGTTTTTCTTTTATTAGGGGTACTACTTAAAAAGCATTACCATTATGAAAAAGCAAAAGCTGGCTGGGCAAGGTAATCCCAGCACTTTGGGAGGCCAAGGTGGGTGGATTGCTTGAGCCCAGGAGTTCGAGACAAGCCTGGCCATAATGGTGAAACCCCATCTCTACTAAAAATACAAAAATTAGCCAGGTGTGGTGGCAGGCATCTGCAGTCCCAGCTACTTGGGAGGCCAAGTCACAAGAATCGCTTGAACCCAGGAGGCAGAAGTTGCAGTGAGCCAAGAACTTGCCATTGAACTCTAGCCTGGGCAACAGAGCATGACTCTTTGAATAAATAAATAAATAAATAAATAAAACAGCAAAAGCCACTAGATATACATAAGTTGTTCGTGCAAATGACAAATTGTACCTATTGCAATCTTCTGAGCCAAAAATGAATGTGCCTGTCCCCTGCTAAAGAAAAAGGTATTTTTCTCCATCAAGGGACGGCACGTTGATTTTTGAGTGGGACAGTTTGGGACACTTACTAAAACGATTTTTGGAAACTAAAATGAAAGATTATTTTATGTGTATTCATAGTTATTTATTTAGAAAACACAAAAACAATGAAAAAACACATGCCCCACATAAGACCTTGGGAAGTCCAGTGAACTCTAAAAGGCGTAATGCAATGTCTTTATTGGGCGGGATGGAGGAATGCCCAATATCAGGACAGGCCTTATTACCAATGTCCTCACTGGAGTTGTGGGCTTAGCAGGTGGAACATGTATGGCAGGAATAATACTGAACTATGTTTAAAATAATTTGGAATCCTCCATTTGGAGCAATTTTGAGTGAACAAATCATATTTGGATGTCATTAGTTATTACACTAATAGAAACTTTGGTATTCACTCAATTTTATGGATCATAATTCACTGATGTTATTAATTCCATGTCATTGCTGCTATGGTATGCCCGGGTAATAGCATGACATTTGATAGCATCTGGTACAGGTTTTTTGGAGTAACCAGACAGTCACGCTAAAAGCACCAGCTTTTGCCCCTGGTCTTTTCCCTGTGTTGCTTTAATTTTTATGGGCTTGCCAGAGGGTCAAATCTCTAATAATCTGATGTGGGGAATGATGCATGAATTAGTAAAACATACGACAGTTTAGACAAAGAGAAAGGAAAGAGCTAGACTCTTAGTTATTGAATTATTATAAAAGAAATAACTTCTTAGGAAATTTAATGAATAGAAGTTCTGTGGGCTGCACATTCGGGAATAATGAGGTGGAAAATATTAAATGTCATTTAAGAGTCTTCAACACAGAAAATAAATTCTAGGAGAGTTTATTTTGGAGAAGAACTGTTTTTTAATCTTAGGTTTCTGTTTAGACTTACCACTAGCTAACTTGTGGATATTATTGAAACTTGAAATTGTTTATTTTTTATAAGCTTTTGTCTGAGATTTTTCTCAATTTATTCTCAATGGTGTTAAAATGTTAGTGAAAAGGTTGGGTTGTAGCTGTGCATGATTTTAGTCCATGGTCAATTAAGGCTTCACACAAATACAAAAAAAGTTGAGTTTAAATTAAAGGAGATACTCTGAGACCTACCATTCTTGATAATTCTAGGTGTTAAAATTCCATCTAATTTAGAACTTACAGAATTATCATTCCACAGTGGACATTTCCATGAGCAAACACTTTTTAAAAGGGGTATTCAGGACTCTTTGAGAAATTCACCTGTGGTTTAGGTGAACCTTTCCTGGGCTGTAGGATTGTCAGAAGTGTCCTCCAAGAACATCAGAATTTGTTCCCATGGGCACTACTAACGTGACCAGATTATGTTTCAACCAGCCTTTGGCTAAGCCTCATAAAGACCTGTTTTCATAGTTAACTGTCAGCACTGGGCTCTTCCCAACTAAAATTAGAGTAATTCTACTTCCAGCAGCTTGGCAACTTGCCCCTCGAGTCCACCATCTGTTACTCCTGCTGCTTTAACAGATAAACTCCCAAATCTCATACTTAACCTAATAGAAGTGTATTTCTTGCTCATAGCATCCTAAACAGGTGCTCTAATTGGCAGGCAGGATTCCCCAGGCAGTGATGCTAGAACTCAGGCTTCGTAGATCTACAACATGTGGTTTCCAAGTTGGCTGTGCTTGTTGGAAGGGGTAAGAGAATAAAGGAGTCATGGTGGAGGTTTTTATGGGCCAAGCCTGGAAATGGCTTACCTCACCTCCATTCATATTCTATTGGCCCCAACTTAGTCATATGACTACCTCTAACTTCAAGGAAGGCTGGGAAATATAGTCTAACTTTCAGCCCAAGAAGATGAGTTGGGTTTGATGAATAACCAGTTAATCTCTCCCACACAGACCCTTATCCAGCTATAGGTTTCAATAGTATTTAAAATGCAACAAGCTTTTACCTTTGTTGCATTACTTCTGATTTTACACTTGTGAGTTTCTTAAATTATTCTAATTTGTCTCTAAAATATCTTCATTACGGTTTTGGTGTATATTTTTTCAAGCTATATATGACTAAAGACATGTATATGTACAAGTGTATACTAGGTATGTATGTACACTCACATACACATGTATATACACACACACAGCATACACATAAAATATGCACATGTGTATATGCATGTGTATTTCAGGGTCACATAGTTAGGACCAGATCCAGAGCTTGAGACCAGGATTGACAACTTTGAGTCTACTACATGCTTTTGTGTTGTTCAACTTCAACCTCAAATTTGTAGAGAAGAAGAAAAAATATCCATGAGTCAATATTTTTGAGAACATCATCTCTACTTTAAATTCCAACAGTGGGTAGCAAA